CACTCCTGGACTGCAACACGTTGCAGGAATGCAGGGGGCCAGTAAGGCCCATTTCTTCCAAAATAGCACGCCACCACTGCCCTCTTCACAGCTGGTACGATACGAGAGTAAATTCTGCGACTCGAAACGAAGTTACTCCGTACTCTATGCACATTTTTATCATTCTTCCCGAACATGCACCATCGATGCTTCGACTTGCATAATAGCGCAAGAAGCGTTCCTTCTGGTTCCGCTAGGCTCATATCAGTGATAGCGCAGCTCGTCGTGTAATTTGTTTTTTTTTTTTTTTTTTTTTTTTTTTTTTGCCCTTTTCCCTTTTTCCTTGCGGACTGTGTGGTACAGCGGATGCACCGGTATCGATTAACTTACTTTTTTATGTTACGACTCGGCATTGTAACTTGAGCGTAAAGACGACGTTTGCCCTCAATCTGGTGGTATTTTTTTCAATTATTGTAAGGTTGGTTAGCCAGTTTGCCAGCCAGGCAGGGCAGGGAAGGGAAGGGAAGGGAAGGGCAGGGCAGGGAACAGGACAGCAGACAAGGGGAACCGATCCACAACCCCCCTCCTCTGCTCCCATGTCGAAGTCTTTTAATTGTATTCGTAAAGTTTTCAGTTAATGCAGGGGAGCGGATAACGCTGGCGGACGCGATTGATTGATCAACCATACGAGTAGATATATAACAATCCAAAGGGTGCCTGAATGGGGAAGGTAAGGGAAAATAGAGCAGTGAAGGGTGTGGATTTTTGTTGGAATTTCCCCGATACATTCCTGCGAAGCGCGTGGCACAACGCTTCAGGCTGAAGTCTGGTGAGGGCGGCCTGGGAGCCTGGGAGCCTGGGGGCCTGAGACGAGAACTTGAGGCATCGCTCCGATTGAAGCCCATAATTTTTTTTTTTTTTTTTTTTTTTTTTTTTTTTTTTTGGGTTTCTCCTGCACAAACCCCCCTCGGTACCGGGGGTTTTTCTTTGGGTTTGGGTTTCATTTTCAATTCTCATTTTCCTTGGGCTGCGGGAGACAAAAACCATATGAGAAAGCGATTTGAGACATGCGATTAGCTAACTACTCTGTATTCTTACGATTCTTTTGCTTTTGCTTTTTGACTTTTTACTTTTTGCCATTTGATTGATAGATTGATCCCTATTGCTAATCCTGCGGGAATAACTTTGTATTAAAAATACCTACGGAGTACCTAGGTAAAGTTTTTTATTTTTGTCTTGATATCGATGAATTTTGATGAATTTTCAGCCAATCATATTTGAGATTGAACCTTGATTCAAAATATATCTTGAGACATCTACCTATTTTTTTTTTTTTTTTTTTTTCAAAAATTTTTTTTGATTCCTTTATTTTTTGCCAGGAGCATTTCAACTGGTGGTAATAGTAGCCACCTCAGGGGGCGATTTTCCTCTTCTCTGGCTTCGTCCATGGCTCCTCTAGAGAGAGAGAGAGTCTTGGGGAGAGAGAGTAGATAAAAAAAGAAAATGGGGGTCCACTCTGCACACGCACCCCTCCTCGGTGGCTTCTTCGCACAAGTTCATTGGTTACGTCGGTGTTGTGTTGTAAATTGCCAGGCATGACAACATCAAAAGGGAGTAGCCGGAGGAGGACTTGATCTTGGGCCAGAACAAATCATGAGTAATTAATTAATAATTGAAATTGAAACAATTCCCTCGCTCTGTGTGTGTGTGCGTCGTACTGTGGACCGTCGAGTTTTTTCGGGCGCATGCTCCTTTTTGAAGATTTTTGTTTATTTCATATCCATGTTGTGGGTTGTGGGTTGTGGGTTGTGGGAATTAAGGTCACTGTGGTTGATGATGAGCTGATGTTTTCCAGAACAGGAGCTCCCCTTCTTTTCTTTTCTCT